CACAGGGGTCTGCACAAAGCACAGCTCTAGAACCTCCCCAACCATTAAGGTAATTTATACTTGATGAAGAGAATTAACATGGTTCTAAGCAGCAGCTTCCAAGAAAATCTCAATTTAGGCCATTTTCTTACCTCAAGACTTTAGTTTTAAAGTGTTCAGCTCTTTGAGGGAATGGAAACAGTTGAACAGGGCACAGAGCTGTGGAGCTGTATAACAGGGAACAGAGTTCCAGTGCCCTATGGAGAAAAAGCTGTCTCATGCCACCAACTGCCCCACAGTCTCCTCTTTAAAAAAAAAAACAAACCCAATCTTTACTCACTTCCCACTGATTTCTTTGGCATTAATTACTTGGCTGAAGGTTGCAATCCGATCAGAGCAAAGAAATACAATGATAGAGATTAAAAACGCTGTTTTAAAATTAGATATTCAACATTTGATCTTAACAGAGTAATACCTGTTGTGCCTTCAGATAGTGTGCTACAAAGTGCTGCTGCAGTTTCTCGTTGGCATAGTTAATACAGAGCTGTTCCAAGTTGTTTTCAGGGAAGGCTTCAAAACCATAAACATCCAACAAACCTGGGAGGAACACAGAAGAAGACAGTGCACTTTGGTTTAGGAGCAGCTTGAAGGACTTAGGGTTACCCAGTTAAACCAGGGAGGAACAAACCATACCTATGAAGCTGGTCCATCCTGAAGGATCTCCATAGATGCTTTCATTTATGACCAAAACGAGCCATTCAAACAATCTGCAGACAAGGACAACTGGATTAGTTGGAAAATGCTTGCTTACAACTCTTTTACTGCTGTTTTTACCAGTAGCTGGCATGAAACAGCAGTTCTCTGAAGGTCTCCCTATTAGATACTGCAGCTCTCTCAGGGTCTACAACTGAATCAAAGGTGTGTCGAGCAGGGAAGGGAGGGTTACGCTGCTATTGAGTCCAAGCAGAAAGCCAAAGGAAAGTAAATCCCTCTCTATTCCCTCAAAAAAGTTCTAGGGATTAGCAGAGCAGCTGGGCTCCACGTCCTTACTTGGCATAGATCACTTTGGCGAGGCAGTCCCTCCTCGTCTCGCACTCGGCTCTGGAGCACGGCTTCTTGAAGACTTGTTGTTGTTTCCCAGCAGTTATTGTTCGAATTCTTAATGATTCCAGTAGCTCCTCGACAGGTATCTGCAGCAAAGCTCCAGCAGTCTTCAAAAAGTCTTGTCCAGAAAAAAAACAACATTGCAAGGTTATCTGGAGTGTCAAATGGCTGCAGCCCCTTTCAAGTTATGGAAGATCTAGAGATAGTATAGAAAAATGACGCTTCCATGAAATCACCAACTTAAATGTGGATTTTTTGGATTTGGAGGAAAGCTTTGCAAGACCAGATTCTATATTTGGATGCGCAACACCCCTAGAATTTCAGGTACTCTATTGAAATGAAACAACAATACCAAAAAAGTCAGAAGTTTGCCACACTGAAGAAGGCGTTTTTAGAGAGTACTTTCTAGGTATGTCTTTGTTACTTTTTCACCTTTTTTGAGCAGAGACCTAAGTCTCCTAAGTTTTAGTCTTTATCATGAGAACTTCAAAGCTTTAATTTTAAAAGCCCTGCTCTCCACTCTGGGTCAGATTTCTGGAAGCCTTATGATGTCAACGCAAGATTACAATCAAGAGTAACGGTTCTGCCAACAATCCTCCTGAAATGACTGTCTAATGTTGCAGTTGCCTTGACCTGTAGTGGAAGGATGTTCTCTCAGAGCAGGGGAGCACTGGCTTTTTGTTTGTTCGATACTTTGAAACCCTGAAGGACCAAACAAAAACACACTTAAATTTTGGTTTGCCCATGACCTCGCTAGTCTCCTGCCAAGCAGAAGAGCGTAGCAATCCTTTCCATTGGGCATCTGCACTCAGAGAACAAGACCCTCTGGAGCACGCCGTGCTCGTTGCCTCACCTTTGGCGTTTTCTTCTAGTTCACAAGACTGAGATTCATCCACAGGATTGGAGAATTGAACATTCCCAAGATGGAGAAGGCCTGACAATACCTGAAATGTAATTATTCATTCAGTTTTCTAAAACAGAACAATGTCCTCTTTGCCTTCCCACATGAGTATGACAAGTCAAAACATTTCTGAATAGAAAAAAAAAAAGCAAATAGATTCCAAGCTTTTGTGTTAATTCCCAATGCTGCAATTACTGAGGGAAAACTAAAGTCCACTGGTGCAGACTTTTAGTTAAGAATTAATATTTGGTTACACAATCTAATGCACAGCTGCAGGCCCTGCAGTCAGGAGTACCAAACAACCCGTGCTCTATACATCGATACAGATTTACTTCTGCAGAAATCCCAGACTAAAAAGACATTCCAAACATCAGCAGCAGCTTTGTGGTGACCATGCTTTGTACCTGACCTTGAAAATATTGTTCTGCGTGGAGCGGTCAATGCCCAAGTGAAACATTGCATCTCTGGTCACCTCGAAGCAGTCCTCTGAAAAGCCAAACGGGTGCTATTTAAAGGAAAGCCATGCACACAAAGACAGGCAAGCACAACGCCTGACACCACCTCCAGTTCAGCTGGAATCCTCAAAGGAGGTCAAGGAAGGCAGATGGTACAAGCTGGAGAACCAAATAATTGACCTAATGCTGAGCCTGTGGGGCTCTGACGTGGGGCAGTGGGTTGCTGAAGCACATCCAAAGAAGAACCAGTTTCTAAACATAGCCACAGAGATGCAAATTTGCTAGGCCAAAAAAATGCTGGTTTAAGCCAGGTGAAAACTCTTCACTGAGCAAACTGCAACTTAAAAAGAATCCCATTAACGCAGGTGGCTTTGCACAACAGCTGCTGGTGACCAGCCTGGCTCGTGGGATTTAACAGGGCACACACATTTTTGTCTGCCTTCCTTTAAAGTTACAGCTGTTATTAATGGACAGTCTGTGAAACTAATCTTTACCATCTAAGCTTCTTTCAGCATTTGGCAGCCAGCGGTAGTCAGCCCCTTCTGGAAGGTTCCATTCCAGCCTCTCCTCTGCAGTGGCACCTTTTGTGATCTGGAGACAGAAAACAAGGTAAGGACTGAATTCTGCCTTTGGTATTTACATCTCACAGGGAATGAACAGTGACACACTGGGAGCATCATTTCATTTGGAAGCACAGCAGATAGGAAAACTGCTAAATATTAAAAATTACAACTGTGGTAAAGCTGGTGATTTCATCCCCACTGTTTGTCAGAAATATCTAGGAAAATTAACTGAAAGCAAACCTGATAAAAGATGTGAAAGTTTCTTTCGTTGGGGGCCTGATAGGCAACTCTGGTTTTCTCCAAAAGGAAAGTCTGAATGGAGGCACTACTCAGATGGTGGAATCTAGAGGGGCAAAAAAAGCAGAGATTTCAACAAAACTTTCTCAAAGAATCTGATGGGTGTTGTGTTGTCATGATACCATGAACTCTTTGCAGTTCACCTTCAGTTTTGTGCAAGCTGAATGTAATATTTTATTCAGAGTTCTGAACTGCATCTCTGTTTTTCCTTTGCTCTCTTTTAGAGATCAGGTTGAGAGCTTACAGAAGAAAAATTAATAATAATGTAAGCTGCCAGCAAACCAAAATCCATTCTAAAGACACATCAAACATTCTAGGGCAGGCTTCAGAAATAGGCTTGTAAAGATTTAAAGGAAGAAGACAATAGATAAGGTTTTTACACAGTGATTATTACCTGTCTAACTGAAGCTGGATATACTTTCCAAAACGGCTACTGTTGTTATTCCGCAGGGTACATGCATTTCCTGTGAAATTGCCAGTGACAGATACAGCATGATCAGAGTGGTTCCACTCTTCCACGTAGGACATGGAGATATTAAGGGTGATATTTGATGAATTTGTCTTTTAAGGAGAGGACCAAGGGCTTAAACTTGTGCGTTAACAAAGAAAATTCCCATAGTGGCTACTACTTCTTCTAGCTATTAAAAAAGCCTCATTTACCAAATGCTTCCATGACAGGGTTGGAATCCAACACTCTCTTCTCTATCCTTTCCACAGTTTCATTGCCTTTTGGGGAGATAACTGAAGCAGCAACAGAAGCATAGAATTTCATAAGGCAGCGAGACGTCCAGGTCTGCAAGAAAGAGGCTTGACAATAGGGCTTTGTTTTTACCATGTTGTTTTAGTTATGCCAGTGAAACAGCCCTAGCTTCTGAAAACACAGTATGCAGCTGGTGAGGATTCTGAACAGAGTAATTGTGTCAGGTTTATAGCTCTGGTTCAGTGGAAACTTTTTGTGCACATGCTTCCGTGCAAAAGACACATTTAAATGGAGTCAGAGTGCTTTGCTGAATGGCAGCTCTATCAAGATGTAACAACCTGGAAGCTCACCTAGAATTAACAGTTAGTAGCTGAGGATGAACTGAATATAAATAGACTTTGAGTCGTTAACACTCAGCAAATCATTTTGTTCTCAGGCTTAAAAACATCCTGGGTATCTTCCTGAAGAGGGACAGACCATTACAGAAGGGTCTAGGATAGGATCTGAACTCTCTGCTTCTTCTAAGCCTCCACATAGGCTTTGCTGAGACCCACATGAGCTCCCCAACAGCTACATCAAGTAGAGGCTATTCAACTGCAGCAAGCACTTCATGATTTCCACATATTTCAAGAGTCTTGCTAGAGCAGACTGGCTCTGTGCTCTGGCAGAAGTTCTTTTCTTTGTCTTTACTTGTTCACTGAAACCCCCTGCACTACAGCTCACAAGCAAATCTCAAAACTTAAGAGCAATGTCAGAAAAAAATCCCCTGCAGCTCACAAGTAAGTCTCAAAACTTAAGAGCAATGTCAGAAAAAAATCCCCTTACCTTCCCAGCACCACTTTCTCCACTAACAATTATAGACTGGTTGATGGGCTCTATCTGGCTTTGGACATTTCTGTAGGTTTGTTCAGCCACTGCAAAGATGTGAGGTTTTAAATCCTGGCAATAAAATAGAATGATCGTATTTAAGAGAACAGTAATTACACAGATCAACAGCAATGAACAGCAAAGGTCTTCTCACATTTATCTGCAAACAGTACCGCTCTTTCCCCAGAACTCATATTTCACTAGAAATGGGTTTTATTCTTTAGGATTATTTTGCTTACATAGATTTTGTCGAACTTAACATTTGGGTTCTGCGGAAGGACAGTTATTTCAAATACAAGGATTACCTGAGGACGCAGTGCGACGTGGTACTCTCTCATGAGCTCAGGTGAATAGAGGTAGGTGACAGGCTGAAATGGATTTAAAGCCACCAGGCTGCAGCCAGCATTTGTATAGAACAAGTTTACTGCATATCTTGCTTGAAGACATTTCAGAACTGAAAGACACATTCTGTCAGCATCTTTTGAAAAGTGTATTTGACTCTTCCTGTGTCTGTCTGTAACAAAAATCTTCAGGTATGTTACCTATTAGGTCTAGTAGAGAATGAGGTGATCAAGAGAGTGATATAGTTCTAATATACTGTCCTGGTTTCAGCTGGGAGTTAATTTTCTTCATGGTAGAATCACAGAATTGCCTACTGGAAGGGACCTTTAAGATCATGGAGTCCAACCATTAACCTTAGAATTGTCTACTGGAAGGGACCTTTAAGATCATCGAGTCCAATCATTAACCTGACACTGCCATAGTAGGTACCATGGGGCTGTGTTTTGGATTTGTGCTGAAAACAGTGTTGATGACACAGCGATGTTTTCGTCATTGCTGAGCAGTGCTTGCACAGAGTCCAGGCCTTTTCTGCTCCTCACACCACCCTGACATCATGCCCAGCATATAAAGCTGGGGGAAGCAGGAGGAATGGGGGACGCTCAGAGTTATGGTGGTTTTATTCCCCAGTAACTGTTACTCGCTCAGAGTCATGGTGGTTTTATTCCCCAGTAACTGTTACTTGTGATGGAGCCCACCTTTCCTGGAGATGGCTGAGCATCCGCCTGCGATGGGAAGCAGTGAGTAAGCTCCTTGTTTTGCTTTGATGTGAAGCAGTGAGTAAGCTCCTTGTTTTGCTTTGTTTGTGTGCAGCTTTTGCTTTACCCATTAAACTGTCTTTATCTCAACCCACAGGTTTTCTCACTTTTACCCTTCTAATTCTGCCCCCCATCCCACTGAGGGGGAGCGAGCGAGCGGCTGCGTGGTGCTCAGCTGCCGGCTGGGGTTCAACCATGACATGTACACAACAATGTCTTTAAGAGTTGCCCTTATTTTTAAAAATCTGAAGGGATCTGCTAACTATTCCATTCAATAAATCCTGGGCTTTTATGAGGTTTCGCATAGTCCTAGAAAGCAAATCTGTTCATCTGCAGAAGAGGCAAGAATTCCCCATTTGCACGAGAGACAGGCAAGTGAGGAATTTACTTTTCAAAATCAATTTCACAGATATATTTTGAATCTAAATCAGAGCCTCGTTTTCTGACAGGTTCAACGAAAACCAAACTGCAATCACAAGGTCATGCAGGAGTCCTTCAACAGCACCAACCCTCAGCCACACCCTGGTACCTGGACCAACACCACAAACGTGAGCTCTGCCTGCACAGCTTGATAAGGGCTCAGCACAGCTACATCTACAATAAAAGCATTTGGAAAAAAAATTCAGCCAAGCCAAAAGGAACTTTCTAAGGCTTTGAATAGGTTTTAATAGGCTTTGAATCTTTAACTACTATGTTCACGGTACTATTAATGTGATGAGAACAGTAACTACCTTATATTAGTAGCTACCAGGGAAAGTGGCTCCTCAGGAGATACAGCCCTGGCTCTTACCTGTTGTAGTTGTCACTGGATTAACTTTTGTGAGGTCATCAAAAAGGTGCAGTTTCTCTTCATCACTGAGGAACGCTCTAACTTCTTCTTCAAACGATTCACTGAGGTCATTCTGGATGATGGAGTCTTCTTTTTGGCCATTTTCCTGGAGGGAATGTGAGATCAGGACCAAAGGCTGAATGAAGCTGGACTTTCACCTCATCCACTAGAGTTTATAGCTCTTCTACTGCCTCCACGTAACACAAGTTCAGTCTCAAGGGGAGTCATAACTTAGTATGTTTGAGCTACTCTTCCTCCCAGTTGCCCTCCCCCTGCATCAGTGGTTCCCATGGGGTGCTCTGGTTTTAGAAAGGAGAGATGAGCGTATGAGAGATGGCAGCCTGACAACGCCGTCTGTAAACTGAATTAAACTCTGGTAATTCTAACTGTAAGCAAAGGCACTTGGAAAGAATGTGTCCTTAGACTCACACTACCTGGCACTTGCAATTTTGCAGGCCGTTCAGCACAGACACACTTTTAGGGTGTTCTTAACTGGTGTATTTCTGAGCCTAGGAATGTCACACATTGGATGCAAACGCTGTCACGGCCATGGGAAGCAGGAAGGACTGGCTGCAGAAGCCAAGGTAGAGCCAAAAGCTCCATGGTCCAGCACAGATGCAGTTTTCCTAGCAGAGACTGTCATTTTTGGAGTAGAGACTGATGGCCCCAAGAGTAAAGTTGCAGAGTGCAGAGGTTACAGCCAGGGGAAAGCAATGGTGGTGTTACAAGAGCTGGGCTGCAGTAGGTGAAGAATTGTCCCCTTTGAATCACTTAAAGCATTTAAATCTTAGCCTCTGGGCTCCCATGTCCTTGAGGATATTAGTTGGAAGGACACATTTGTTGTACAAACGTAATGGAAAACTTAGCCAGAAGAGAGATTTCAGGTCCTCTCTGTCATTTCTGGGGAGAAGGAGAGAGGGGAAAATAAAGAAAGGAAAAGATGCCAGTCCTGATTTTTGCTTTCTGGATATTCCTTTTCTGTTCCCTTTCTCCTTGACAGAAACTCCTTCAAAGTAACCCTACTCATTTGTATTTAGTAGCATAAATCTGCAATTCTTTAGAAGTTAACCAAGTCAATGAACAGTATCACCTTGTTTATACAGAAAAAGTGCTAAATTTAGTTAGCAGCATTCCCACTACGTGAGCCAAGCTCATTAATACAAGAGAAAATACACTGCAAAATCCCATTAACACATTTCTTAAAAAAAAAAAATAAAGCTACAATACTGTACTCATTTAGGAGCATTATTGTCTTTTGCAGACAGCATAAGTAGTTCATTTCCAGTAATATAAAATTTTACACAGCAAAGTAAAAAAACCAAAAGCTTAGGAATGCAGGTAAGCATTGCCATTTAAGGGGAAAAAAAAAAAGCTTTAGGAATGCAGGTAAGCATTGCCATTTAAGTGATTTCTGTTATTTCACTCTGGATGCCCATTAAGGAGCTTGCTGCTCTCACAGGGAACAGACACACAATTATGAAATACTCTGACAAGATGAATTTCTGCCAGTCGCCCTGTGCTCTCCCGCGTGTTCCCTGTGTTACGCTGGCAGCTGCTGAGATCTTAAGTCCAGCGTGCAGCTGATCCTGCAAGACCTGAGGAAGGGCTTATTATCACTTCTGATACCTACACTGCATACCTACACCTCGAGTGTGCATTAATTGTACTGAACCATCACCCTTAGGGACGTGCTTGCTGCCCGCGTTAACACCTGCCCCGTTAAAGCCAATGGCATAACAAAAATCACTAGCTGGTGTTAGTAACACAGCTCAAAACCACACAGTTAATAGGCCCAGGCAATTAATGAAGTAGGGGTGAATATGCATTAGTAGTTACCTAATCTTGACTGCATGGAAACGCGCCAAAAATTCTTTCCTGGCAGTAAAATTTAATTAGCACACACAATTCCTGGTTTTCTTTTTACCTGCTTTGGCATCTTGTCCAGCCCTGTGGACGGAAACGCTGGAGAGGGCCTTTTCTCTGGGGTATTTCATTCAAATCAGACTGAAGAACGCTTAAACAAAAGAAAAAATAAATTAAAAAAAGACATTTAGAACAAAATAACCAGACACATCATTCTCCAGAGGGTTCCGTAAGCAGAGCCCAAAGGTTTCAGACAGAAGTACTGGTCCCAGGGGGCTCAAGTAATGCTGGAGCTAGAAAGCCCTCCTGCACTATCAGTAACAGTCATATATTCTGTAAATAAAGCTTATTTGGAGGGAATAATTCCTTACTGCAGGAATAAAATACTTTGTTTCTCTTTAATTACTAAAGCAAGGTTTCTTGGCAAGAAATCGCAACTTTGCTTTTGTTAAATTCCTCCTATTGGGACAAATGGGAAAGATTTGTGGGTCTGACAGCGTCCGAGAAGCTAGTGCTTTTGGGAAAGGAGTGACTCAGAGAAGTTTCGTATTGCAGCAGAAACAAGATAATGCTGCCTGTTATCGTCCCGTTTCCTCTGAAAATCGGCGGCACCCAACCCAAGGTGAGTCAAGCCCAAATTTCTGTGATAAACACAGAGATCCCATTCACATAGCCAGGAAGAATTCTGTCTTCTTGCTGAAACTACCATCTCATCTCTTCTATTCCTAATTCTGTTCTATTCCCAATTCTGTTCTATTCCCAATTCTGTTCTATTCCCAATTCTTATTCCATTCTTATTGCATTCCTAAGCTGTTCTTACCTGGCATGAAAACACTGCTTAGAGATCACTCCAATCCACAACCAGAGCTCAGGGCACACACAACCTTCACCCAAACCCCCTCTGCCTTTGAGCTGTTGTTCCTCCCGAGGAGAGGTGTTGGTCGTAGCTGGCAGCGGAGTTCCCTGTGCCAGTTAAACCAGTTCCCAGAGGACACAGGCCATCTCAGCTCCCTGCTGATGCAGCCTTTCCACCACCACCCCCCCTCCCCGCGCCTTTGCCAGGGCACAATCCCACATTCGCCCGGGCTCCAAGGTCACTCCCAACGGGCCCGTTCCCCCCACCCCAGGGCCTCGCCACGGGGCCACCGCAAGCCCACGCGTTCCCGGGCCGGGCTCCGGGGGCTGCCGGGGGACAGGGCCCTTCCCGGGGGGTGAAGGGCGGGCTCCGGGCGGCGGGGGTGGGCGCGCTATGCCGGGACCGGGCCGGGGACACTCACCGCGGGCGGCGCGGGCCGAGGGCAGCGCGGTGCGGGCGGAGGCGGAGCCGGGGCGGGGGCTACCGGAGGCGGCGGCGGCGGCCGGTGGCGAATCGGCGGCGGCGGAAAAGCAGGGCCGGTTCCCGGCGCGAAAGTGCGGGCGGGGAGCGCGGCCGGAGTTTACCCGAGGCGGGAACCGGGACGGCGGCGACCTCCGGGGGGGGGGTTTCCTGCGGGGCTCTGCGGGGGACGGCGGCGCTGAAATGCGGGTTTGTTCCTTCCCCCCTCCGACAGCCATCCCCCGGTGTCCGGCGGGAGGCCCCGCGATGGGAGGGACGGGGCGGGACGGGGCGGGCGAGCGAGAGAGCCAGGGTGGCTACCAACGGCCTTGCTGCTACTCACAGCCGGGTTACAGAGCCAAACCCGCAATTCTGACCTTCTAATTAACGCTTTTCTAATTTAACATGTTATTCTCCTGAAACAGGTCCCGCGGGAGGGGAGTCCCTGGCCTGGGAGGGTCACTGCGGGGCTGCGACTTCTTTAACAAGGATATTGTGATGTTCTGCTTTAAGTGGGATTTTAGCTGATGGTTTTACGGCGCTCTCTCTGCTGCCCAGGCAACAGAAACTTCATTAGCGTCCCAGTTTTCATTTTCATTTTCATCCATTTCATTTGCGCCATGACTAAGTGCATTCCGTAGATGGGGACAGACAGATTATTCACAATGTGAATATTCAACGGAGCATTTGCTATTTAGAGATCTTCAGCAAAAATAGGGTAAGATTTTTGTTGGAACAGAGCAAGGTTTGTAACGATGGGACTCGGTCACGTCTTGCAAGTGCCTCTGGTCCATCTCCTGGGTGTCACCAGGGCTGGTCCATGTTCTTTAGATGGCAGAGTAACAAACCCAGATGGCTTCTGAAATCCATGTATGCTTTAACGAACCGTTAATTAACCGTAAGACTGATTTTTGATGGAGTTCTAAGGCCCCCCCGTTTCACAAAACTGACTCAAGTTCACGTTTGTGATTTCAGAGGAGGAAGGAAGGATGTCACACAAGCACCTGAAGGAAGCCTTTATCAGCAACTTAAATGGAACTAGTTTGCTGGAAATTTCCCTGGGCTTGTCCCTGGCCCCGCTCTGCCTGCTCTGCAGGGGACTCCTCCTCATTTTGTATTACCTGCACTATGGGAAACCTTTGAGCTCAAGGAAACACAGCCTGCTGCTGGACTTCCTCCTGCTGGTGTCTCCTCTGGTGCTCTCCTGTACAGTCCTGTCTCCAGTCATCTTTTTCGTGCCAATTATCATCGCAGCCTTCTGTGCCGGAATATTTTCTAAAATATACAGCCAAAGAAAACGCGAGAGCAGGGTGCCTTTTAGGCAAATTGTACAAGAATTCCAGAAGACGTACTTGGATGCAGAATACATTCCAGCAATAACCGTGTTCCGTGTTTATGTCAATCTGTTGACAGCCATCAGCATTTTAGCGGTGGATTTCCCGCAGTACCCAAGGCGATACGCCAAAACCGAGACCTATGGAACGGGAGTTATGGATTTGGGGGTTGGAGCTTTTATTTTTGGTAACGCCCTCGTTTGTCCTGAAGTCAGACAAAAGTCTTACGTGACACAACCAAAATTTTCCAATCTGGCCAAGCAGTTCTTTTCCGTTTGGCCACTGATTTTCCTCGGCGTCGGGCGACTGCTTAGCGTTAAATCTATAGACTACCATGAACACACTTCAGAGTATGGAGTGCACTGGAATTTTTTCTTTACCTTAGCCTTTGTGAGGCTTGCAGCATCTCTACTCTTAGCCGTATTTCCGAAAAATAAATCTTGGATCATTGCTATAAATCTGGCTGTATTTTATCAGCTTGTTCTTAACACTACCTCTCTGAAGATGTTTATCCTGCACGGGAGCGACGGCAGAGATACGAGGGTTGGCTTTTTAAACGCCAACAGGGAAGGACTGCTCTCTCTTTTGGGGTATTTAGCCATATACATGGCGAGTGTCCAGGTGGGGCTGTATCTGCTGAAGCTCAGGAGCTCCGTCAGAGCCTGGATGGCGGCGGCGCGGTTCTTGGTGCTGGTGGTTCTCCTGCTCTTCCTGCTCCTTCACGTGTCGCAAGCGCAGGGGGACGCCGTGTCCCGCCGGATGGCCAACCTCTCCTACTGCCTGTGGGTGCTGGCTCACTCCCTCACTTTCTTCACCTGGTTTGTGGTGACGGATCTCACGTTGGTGTTCACAAAGCTGCTTGTGAAGGGGTCCAGCGTGCCCAGTTGCTGGGATGTTGTCAAACCCCCTGGTACCGGCACAAGGCACGAAGCGGAGGCCGTGCCCACGGGAAGGGATGGCAAACTGGCACACGTTTGCCTGATTAGCGCTATTAATAAAAATCAATTACTGTTTTTCTTGTTAGCAAATGTGATGACCGGTACTGTGAATATACTGATAGACACGATCCACAGCGAGACTGCATTTACCTTGGGTATACTGCACTTGTACATGTTTGTTAACTGTTTAATTATGTACATATTGCATGCCAAAAATATAGTATTAAAGTTCTGGTGATTCCATTCTGTCTTAAGTGGAATAGTTGAACTTCGTTTGCTGTAGCTGAATGATGGTATTTTAATGCAAAAATTAGTGTTTTTCCTGAATCTATTCCAATAATCTTTAATTTAGGATAGCTTTTTATGATTTAGTGGTGTTTATTTTTCCAAATTTTACAGTTGGTGCTGTTACCTGTTGGAGTTGTTGCATGTTTTCCTGAAAACTTAGTTTTTGAGATTGTTTGCTGAATGCTTCTGCTGCTCCTACCAACACTTGTGCAGAATAAGATTGTATTTACAGTTAATGAGCTGTGTTCATACCCAAGTGCTGGCAGAATTAGATAACAGTGTGTATAGTAGAAGCCAGATGAAAAGTAAGAAAATGAATAATAATAGAGAGAGAGACTTAGCTGTGTCAAGATTTACCTAGTTAAGGCCCTTGCATAAATAATAGATAAGAATAATTCCTTATATAAAATGTATTTAATAAGTGGATACTTTAAAATGTTTTGGCCCTAGTCCTGCAAAGATTTATGCATATGCCTGACTTTGATGGCAGTAATTGTATGTGGAATGTTAATCATATACTGAAATCTAAATTAGTCTTTGAATTAAAGCTAGATTTCATTTTCCTCCTCACTGATGAATATAAATGAAGACCCTAGATAAACTGCGATGCTCTGAAGGATAAAATTCAAGTGCAGATGAATTCATAAAGCAGTTGTTGGAATTTGTGGTGCAGATAGTAAGAGCAGCACAGCCTTTTATGAGAAAATACAAAGATCCAAAACGAATTCACCCCCAGCCTGCATTACCAACATGTTGTGACAGCTCATCTTTAGGAACGCTGTAAAATACGGTCTTCAGCTCTACTTTGGAAGTAGTCAGGGCCCACCTACTTGTCTATAAAATGATTTTAAACAGCAGCTCATTCCTTAGTGTATTTTGACAGCTGAGATGTCATCAAGTGGGAACATTCTGTATTAATTTTTATTAGCAAACAAACAGTGTGCAAATGGAAAGCAGCACGAAGCCATGGGTCAGGGTCCTGGCAAAGTATTGACAAGAGATGTGCTCGGTTTCTCTGTCGCTGTCTTCCTGTGGGCCCAGAGCACAACAGCCTCTTTGTTCACTTTCCAAACTGTGACAGGTTCTTCCTGACCTCACTGAGTTGTTGAGAAGAGCAATGCATTTAAAGACTGTGAGGAATTCAATAATGAGAGATATTAATACTTAAGAAGTAGAGTACAAGTGGTAGTTGATGATAGATGTCTAATGTCTGTGGAGTTCCAGCAGTGCACATGGGCCATATTTCATATTTCTCCTTGTCTAGCAAAAGTGATGAATCATAAAACCTATGGAGATTAAGCCTCTAAATCAGATTCTTTAATGCAGACAAGCTGTGGAATATTCTGAAATTTATGAGGTTCTCTCAGCCATTGGCCAATGGAAGGGTGAAGCCTGAGGATGACAGGCTGTGACCATGCTGATTTCATGCTTGTTTACTTCCAAGTTATAGCCACATAGTCTTTGGAATCAAAGAAAAACAGCCTGAATTATCCTGGGGACAAATGCAATTAAGTGGCAGCAGTGCCATTAACGGTTGTCACAGTTTCTAGCAGAGTTTTCTGGTAACTGGTGTATGTATTTATTTTAAAACATTTCCTAGCCTTGCCTAGGGTAGAAAGGCCTCCATCGTCATGAACTGAATGGCACTACTCATTTATGCAAAATTACTGGTGGATATTCATTTTTGAACTATCCAGAGCGCAAGACCCGCCGTGAGTTCTGCCTGTGAGCACAAGTCTATCGCCGTGATTCAGAACCCAGGCACGAACGGGGTGTGACAACGCGGGGCTGTGTCTGGACAAGCTACAGACTGTCGAGATGCCAGCTCCGTTGGGCGCAGCAGAAATCCCGTGGGAGGTCTGCTGTGTCTGTGCAAGAGCCCTGCGAGCTCCGCACCGGGAGCAGGCTGGCGGGCACCGGTGCCAGGACTGGAGCTGTGGTTTGCAACCACGGAGCCGGCAAGCGGAGGGGACTGCGGTGCACAAGTGATGGTGAGAGCAAGAACCACCCGCTTCTCTCCACGACTGCCACATCACGACGCCATCTCCTGCTTTTAAAGCCGCACGAAGTAAGTTGTTCCCCACTGAATTAATGAGAGACAATTAATTCTCATTGCCTATTGTCGATAACAAACGCGGCAAGCTCTGCCCTGAAGCAACCCGCGTAGTTATTAATGCTGAATGTTTAGACTATGAATAGATAGGGATAATTAAGCGTGCCTCTGGAAGAACCAAGAAATGGGAGCGAGCGTCCTTTGATCAGAGTGTGTCCGAGCAAAGGGAGCTGCAGTGAGTTGGAAAAGATGCGAGAGGAGTTAACACCGCGATAGTGCCGTGGACACTTTCTCCACACACACCTCGAGAGCTGTTGGATGAGTGGTTGGTAGGAACCTTTCATTTCACTCTGGGGCATGTTTAGACGAGTAAGCTTCTACAGATCAAAGAGAGACTTAAAAAAGTCAGAAACTTTGATTTAGCTGTTACATAATCAGTAAAGATATTTCAACTAGTGAGACTAAAATGGTTCAACTATAGCGTGCTGCTGACTTTAACAGTAATAGTAAAGCAGAACATGGAGAAAACATAGTATTTTTTTTTTTTTTGCTGCCATAATTCCACCAAATGATCTTTTTGTAGGGCTGCAGGATAGACAAAACACAGTGGGAGAATAGACCTGATGTCATTTATCCTTAACCTTATTATTTGTTTAACCTTAGTAGCTTACCAAATTTCATTATTTTTAACGATCAACCCACTAGCACACCTTCCTTCCCAACCCAGGAGAGTCTCTTTTGAAGCCAAACACGTTACAATAAAGATTTCAGGCCATATCCTATTTCAAAGCACTATGTCCTAAAGAACAGGTATTTCTTCCAGGTGGAAGACGGGGCATGCAAATGAACAGCACGAAGGGGCTGTCTGCCTTTTCACTGTTTTGTACATAACAAGCAAACTGCATGTTCTGGCAACTTAAAAGACCCCACCTTTTCCGTGGACAGAAATGACACGAAATGAAATTTTTCAGTGTGCACCCCGAGGATACAAAATTTGGGAAATTGCTATTTTATTGATGTGATCCAGCCATGCTCTGGGAGCGGAGGGGCAGAAGTCACACTGCACGCTGAAAGGACCCTGTGAAGACAACATTTGCTCGTCAAAGTCCAAGTGGCTTCGTGATATTCTAACAAGAGAAACTATCCCTTGTTAAGAAATGCCAGCTTTTTTTTTTTTTTCTGAAGAAGAAAACCATGAAAATACACCAACTGCAAAGTGTGCAGCAACGTGGCTCTGCACAGTGTTTCCGGTAGAGGTAGAGATGTTGCATGATGAGTTCAAGTAAATTAACTCCTCCACTAAAGATGGTTTTTATGCAGAAACAAGGAAAAAAAAAATAATAATCCCGCTCCCTAATTGCCTCCCCTGCATTTTCTTGTGAGGATTTTAGTATCTATATACATAAATAACAAGAATGAACAGATCAACTGTATTATTTAATAGTTCGAGAAAGGCTATGGGGGTTTTTGTGGCTGCTTAATTTAGGCAGCCACAGGATTTCTAGCCGGTTGCACCAGGGTGCTGCAGAAACCAGCTGCCTTCAGCCAAGAGACCCTAAGTCCAATTAATGCCTGCCTTACCTGGCGTGTAATCAGGGCAGGGAAATCTGAGGCTGCACTTTGATGGGTCTGAAGCTCAGATGCGTTTTTGGCAGCTCACGCTCCCTGTCAGCCTACTCTCGGCGGCCTCCACAGCAAAGCCTGCACTGAGGGACCCCCTGTCACCCTCCGGCCCTGTCCCGCTGGAGACAGCGGTGGGTTTCCATCCCCCCAACCCTTCGGGGTTCAACCTCCCCTGCTCCCCTTCACCCACCGCCTCAGCGGGGCCAACTTCTCTGGGGACAGCTCTTTACACCCCACTTTCCAAGGCGGGGGCGCCGGGATAGACCCCACCGGCCCCTCAGCGCCATGGCGGGAAGGCTTCATCGCCTCAGGGTGGGGAAGGCCCGCGGATCCCCCGGGGCCAGGCCTCCCGCCGCCGCCCTCAGCGGGGCGAACCTCTGTGAGGGACAGCTCTTTACACCCCACTTTCCAAGGCGGGGGCGCCGGGTTAGACCCCACCGGCCCCTCAGCGCCATGGCGGGAAGGCTTCGTCGCCTCAGGGTGGGGGATGGCCCGTGGATCCCCCGGGGCCAGGCCTCCCGCTGCCGCCCTCAGCGGGGCGAACCTTTACACCCCACTTACCAAAGTGGGGGCGCCGGGATAGACCCCGCCGGCCCCTCAGCGCCATGGCGGGAAGGCCCGCGGATCCCCCCGGGGCCAGGCCTCCTCCCGCCGCCCTCAGCGGGCGCTGCCCTACCTCAGCCTCCCGCCCCGCGCTCGAGGCGCCGCTCCGGCCGTTTGTCACCCGCGCAGCTCCTCCGGCGGCGGGGCCGCCATGTAACGGGCGAGAGGGCGCCTCCCTGCGGGCAGCCCCGGGGGCGACGAGGCGGGGCCGCCGGCCCCGGGCCGGGAGAATGGCGGGGCCGCCGCCTCTCGCGAGAGGAGGGCGGGGCGGCCCGGGGCCGGGGCCGGCGCCTGTGGGGAGGGCCCGGGGAGGGGGAGAGGAAGGAGGCGGCTCCGTGGCGGAGCTCGGGGGTGTCCGCCCGCCTGTCACAGCGCCCGGGCCGCCGACCCGCGGAGGAGCCGGTAAAAGCCCGAAGGGAGGCG